AGATAAGGATAAAGAATTAATTAATCTTTCTCAAACCTGCACACTAGCAAATTTTTCTTGTTTATTGCTTCATCCTGGTGAATGTAGGAAAGCAGAAAATATTTTCTCTTTCTTTTAATCTCTAAAAAAGTATGTTCTTCCATATAGATTTTTTTTCTCCCTTTTCTGGGGGAGATGCACAGTAGACTGGTCCATTTTATTTAGGCACTGCTAAAAATTTGTCATTATATGTGGTCTAAACTGATGATAAAGCTTTATCTACAGTATCTATATAATCAAAATCAAAACTATGAATTTTTGCATAAAACCTCAGTATAATAAAAATGTTGAATAGCTTAGTGTATTAGGAATTATGGACAGAATGAGAAAATATGAATACTATGTGTTTCAGAACAGATGTCTGTTTTGTCTTTTGCAGAGCTTTTATTCTTTTATCTAAAATATGCAAATTTGAAGTAAAAGGTTTGAGATTATTCAAGTAGAAGCTGCCCTAAAGGCTGGATTTTGTTTTCATTATAGGGAAGGTGAATTAACAGGCATCATAAAATATGTTTCTGTAACAAAATAACAATGTGTTAATTGTATCTTTGAAACTGGATTGTGGAGTGTTCTCGATCCTAATCATGTGCCTTTTATTTCTGCCACATAACAAATGAGCTTTTGTCCCAATAATTTAGGAAAACTGGGTAGATATACAGCCAGTTATAACTTGATGCTGTTTTATGTTTCATTGCTGATCTGGATTATATACAATTTAAGGGAGGAACTGCTTAAATGGTGCCATCCTCCAGGTGTAAGATTTTAGTGTGGACAGTATTAGCTGTTCTGTTTTGAAAGTTCATCTAAACCCAGTGTCTCTGTCTTTTAAGAATCTGCTCATATTGTTTTTTAATGTATTTCTGGAAACAAGCAACCTAATTTTGGTCTCTTTAAAGAGGTATTACATTGGGTTGCACGTCTTGCTTTCTCATCTATGAAAATAAGGCCTGATGCATTTTAAATTGCCATTGAACTTTAATTGAGGTTTCTTTTTTTAAAGCATTAGTCTAGGCTATCTTGATTTTTCACCAGCATGTGTCTCGTATTCTAAAAATAGTTGCATTGTTTAATGACCCCATACTTGGCAGACATTTCAGTGAGTCTTTGGTAGGAAGAAACTGCATGTCCCATTTAAAGGAAAAAAGAAGAAGGGGGAGAAAAGGGAAGGTATTATCTTCACGGAAAGTTACAGGCAAATTACCTCCTTTTGAGAGGTCTTCTACATTCTTTAGCTTTATTTTTCTCAAAAACAGAGAAATTTCCATGAATCTTTCACTGAAGAAAAAAGGAAAATATAACTTCTAATTTATGCCGTAAAGTAAAAATATCCTTTCCAAGTAAAGAAATCAATGATTTCTCTAGGTGCTTTGGAGCTAACTACCAAGGACAGTGTTTTGGGTGTTCAACCATTATCCTCAATTTCTTCTGGAAATTTCACAGATCCTTGAAAACACAAGTTCCTCTGGGCCTCCATGTGTCCTCCTCCTATCAATCTGCAAGCATGGAGTTAATGAGCACTATATTTACTGTATTTATTTACGTGTTGGATAATTAAGTGATCTTGCTGAATAGATTGACCATAATTAGCTCTGCAGCTGTTTAAAAGGCTATGCCTTCACTGCCTCAAACACCTTTCTTGTCCCTCCCAATGAAAATTTCTGTGGCAGCTGGGGAATTTCATCAGGTTTGGCAGAGAAGTGATTGACACTAGCCCCGAGGGGAAGTACTTGAGGATGATGGTTGACAAAAACAGAACCTTGGGCAGCAGATTGAGGAGGTGATTCTCCCTCTCTACTCTGGCCTTGTGAGACCCCAGCTGAAACACTGCAAACGATTCTGGTGCCTCCAGTGTAAGAAGGACATGGAACTGTTGGAGCAAGTCCAGAGGAGGCCACAAAGCTGATAATAGGACTGGAGCCCTGTG